ATATATATATATATATATATATATATATATATATATATATATATATATATATATATATATATATATATATATATATATATATATATATATATGTGTGTGTGTGTGTGTGTGTGTGTGTATGTGTGTGTGTGTGTGTGTGTGTGTTTGGGAGGAGGGGGGCGCCAATGGATAAGTTGTGTCAAAAGGGAGGCCCACTGTCTTAGAGTATATAGTAACTATAAACGACTATTTTTATTTTCAGTATAGTTATGGATAAAATATGTTAATTCTTATGGTTTAATAAAAATAAATCGATTTTTGGAAATCACCAGGCGACCCCCCTTCATTGCCCCGCAACCCCTCGGGGGGTCCCGACCCCCACTTTGAGAACCACTGCTCTAGACTACATCTGCTTGCAGTTTTTTTGTTTTTCACAAATCCACTAGAGGGTGCTGTGCGCTTTTTTTGACAATCTGTTACTGGGTCATGTCTTGTCACACTATTATGGGGCGTTCACACTGGATGCACCTCACGCAAGTAAAGTGCAATATTTGTGCATAATTAGATGCTTAACCAGTTTCAGTTTACTCGCTTCATTTGTGTGTGAAATTCATTATATTATGTTTATTATCATACATTATATTTATTATAATATGATTATAGACCACTTGAAAATCCTCAGTTTTATCATTTATAGCTCTGTTTGAGCAAAATGTGTTCTTTTAATTTTATTGCATAAACTGCTGATGATATTTTTGCTAAATTGAAGATTAAAATGTTCATTTTTGAGCATACGTGAACAATTGGTCAAAACCAAAATGTGTGACGTGTCCGACATATCTTTTTTATGAATGTTTTAAATTCGGAAGAGTTATGAAAACAACATTAGTTGGAATAGAATAACTGTGATTTTCAAAACCATAACAACTAAAAACATTTGTTAATTTTAAAATAATTTGGAATTGCATACACCTCAGCAATGTGTCCTATTAATAAATAACTCGTATATTTCTGATCATATTTGGAAGGTTTTTACATAAAGCTTTATGAATGTGAGCTTAGTTCCTTGAAGAATTTACTTTCACACATACAGCGAGGAAAATAAGTATTGAACACGTTGTCATGTTTTTTCCTGGGAATAATATTTATAAAGAAGACGTTGACATGGAATTGAAGCAGATTTTGGTAAAACCCAAACAGTACAAACATAAAAATAAAACAAAACAAAAACATCTTAACAATTAATGTGTGTAATAACAATCAAATGACAGAAGGAGAAAGTGCTGAACTACTGAAACGTATTTAATACTTTATATAAGAAGAAGTTTTTGGTGACGGCAGCTTAAAGACGCCTCTCATATGGAGAATGAAGTCACATGCACTGCTCAGGTGCGAGTCTTTCACAGACTTCAACAGAGTTTAAAACTCTTGATGGTTCTGTGGGTCTCGTCTATAATATCTGATCTTTAATTTGTATTTTATATTGGATTGGAGAAAGGCTGGGCCATTCAAAAGCTTGATTTTCTTTCTCTGAAAGCATTTGGGAGTTTCTTTGGTTGTGTTTTGGATCACTGTCTTGCTGAAATGTCCATCCTGGTTTCATCTTCATCCTCCTGCTAATGTAGATGTTGGACTGAAGCAGCTGATGTTCATTTACACTGAGGAAGGGCAGAGGTTTGCTAAAGAACTATTGAGAGATTTTAGCTGCTGTCTGGGCTTTCACTGCCTTTCTACACCTTCCTTTCTTCATGTGTTCAGTACTTTTTCGCTGGGTCATTTAATTTTATAACACAGAACTTCATTTGTAAACTAATTAGATTTGTTTTGTCTGCATATATGGATTTCTTTGGTTGTTACCAACATCAGGGGAAATTTCAAGTCAACGGCACCTTTAGAAATATGTTTTCTGAGTTAAATGGTGACGTGTTCAATACTTATTTTCGCTGCTGTATATGACCATTTTTACTCAAACTTGCAAGATGTTTTAATGCAGGGGTGTCAAACTCAATTCCTGGAGGGCCGAAGCCCTGCACAGTTTAGTTCCAACCCTGCTCCAACACACTTACCTGTAGGTTTCAAACAAGCCTGAAGGACTCAATTAGTTTGATCAGGTGTGTTTAATTAGGGTTGGAACTAAACTGTACAGAGCTGCGGCCCTTTCGGAACCGAGTTTGACACCTGTGTTTTAATGCCACAAACACCATTTAAATGAACAAGCTTACGTCAAAATATCAAGGTGAACATGATTTCTCATTTCATAGCAAAATGCTAAATCACTGACCGGTCAGCCATTTCAGTGAGAAAGAAATCCTCACATCATAATTACAGCAGGATAAACAAGCAAACTGTGTGTAATTCAGCACCTCAGGAGTGAGATTTAGGAAGTCACGCTGAGATCCAAATCAAAGCTGAGAAAAACAAGAGATGAGCTGGATGTTTTCTTGCTGGTTTGAGAGAATACAAAAGGCTTCTTACCTTTGCCTCCGGTGCCCTGTCCTCCAGGTTTATTGTACAGGTAGATGTCATGATCGGGCAGCTCGCTACTTGAATGGAAATAATGCTGAGACGGAACAAGAGCGGGAAACAAAGAAAACGCATTCATAAAGAGTGATAATTACAGCTAAAAGTATAGCAATTATTCTGTTTCGAGTGCTTTCATTCTTTTGAGCAATTATAGACATTTGAAGGTGATTCATGGGTGACAAATTATAAAATACAAATCACTAGTGTTATTAATGATTACGCTGCTCTCAAACTGATGTTGTGTGGTCACATGACATGACAACAACAGAGTTTGGTGCCAATATGGTTACGATGTACAGAAATTCAGCATTAGGGTTTGTTTCCACTGAACGGTATTTTTCGATATGGTATGGTACAGTATATTACCTGATTACCAGTACATTACATTACATTACCAGTACATTACATGATAAAAGTCTTGTTGCCTATCCAGGTTTTAGGAGCAACAAATAATAAGTTGATTTCTAGTTGATCATTTGATATCAGAAGTGGCTTATATGAAAGGTAAAGGCCTCTAGATTATGCTTATTTGACCAAAATAAACTCTGATCATGCCTTGATTTTGAATGATTTAATGAGGACAGTAAGGTCCAACTCTGCTTGGACAAAAGTCTCATCACTGAACAGAAATAATGTCCAGTATAGAAGATAAAGTGCTGCTGCAGTGGAGACAGAATGAATATTGTTTCTGACTCCATCATGAGCTTGGAGGACTGCATCCATACATCTCTGACATGACTCAAATCACTGATTAATAAAGTCATCTGGAATGGCAAAGAAAGCGTTCCTGCAGGACTGACAGAGCTCATCAAGATTATTTGGATTCATCCTCAATGCCTCCCTAATCTTACCCCAGACATGCTCAATAATGTTCATATCTGGTGGCTGGGCTGGCCAATCCTGAAACATCTTGTCCTTTCTTGTTTTCAGAAACTTTAATGTTGAGTCCTGCTGAGGAATTTGCCCTCTCCTGTGGTTTGTAATCAGTGCTCAATTTGTGTGTTGTGAGATCCCGGAACAGATCAGGGTAATGAATTCGGCATGTTACCCGTGGATGTAGAGGTAATGTGCACGAAAGTGAAGGGGGGAGGGGGTGGTGGGCTTGGCGTTGGAATGGCGGAGGGCTGTCGAGGATGAAAGTGAGGAGCGACGGGGTTGTCACGGACAAAAGTAAAGAGGGTTAGGAAGTCGCTGAAGAAAGTGACAGTGAACAACAGACGGGGGAGGAGGGCGGTTGAGCAGGGGAATCGGTAAAATGAGGTGCGAATCAATTTCAGAGGTGCCACATCCGGCGTATTCCGGCACAAATTAAGCCCTGTTTGTAATGTAATGGGCAGCACAAATGTCTTAATACCCCAGGCTGTTGATGTTGCAGATCTCTCTCATGCCCCCATACTGAATGTAACCCCAAACCATGATTTTTCCTTCACCAAACTTGACTGATTTCTATGAAAATCTTGGGTCAATGTGGGTTCCAGTAGGTTTTCTGCAGTATTTGTGATGTACAGATGATTCATAGGAAAAATCGACCTTCTGCCACTTTTCCAAATGATCAACTAGAAGTCAAGTTATTATTTCTTGCTTTTACAACTGGGTAGCGCACACATTTATTTTCTGTATCCACTGTATTAAAAATAAAAAATGCAATACTAAAATAGCCTTTTTTCCCTGTCATATCACCCACAAGTAGTCAAACTCCACAACTTTTTTTAAACCATGACCTCAGATTTAGCTCATACTAATGTATTCAGACAATAAATCTGCAAAAAGCTTATTAGAGATACTTTTATCATACTGCTATCAAGCATAATAACCAATTATTCATTGTTATTGGTCTGATTAGGATGATTCTGACAAATAATAGTTAATGTTAGGCTATATTTTTAACAATTCAAACAGTAAACTCTTTGCTCTGCGCCAGGTTTTAAAAGGTATTAAATGCAGACAAGTTGTAATTATAGCCATTATTTGAGAAAACCATCATGATTGTTGTGCGATTAAAACTCTGATCACATACCGGCTTCCAAAAAGGAGGCATTTAAATGAAATACAGAAGTGTGCATCTATAGGTTTCCTCCCAGTGCAGAAGTGCATTATAGGAGCTCTCTAAATGAACTCTCTGTGACCTGTTAAACTGAACCGCACTCAGAGAGCATAAAAGTATAAACACATTTGCAGAGCCCTGCTGCGCTCACACATTATCTGTAGTGCTTCACTTCAAACTGGCACAAGAGTAGAAACGGCTTATTGCAAACCACTTTGTTTCAGCTTTTATATACACACATATATAAGTAACGAATTCTGCAATCCATTGTATAATGGTCTGACAAGCCATTGTCCAGATATACTGGTAGAGTTACATACACTTCTTTTGAATAACTACATATACAGTTAATGTCAGAATTATTAGCGCCCCTGAATTATTAGAGTTTATTTTTCCCAAAATTTCTCTTTAACGGTGAGAAGATTTTCGTAACACATTTCTGCACATAATAGTTTTAATAACTCATCTCTAATATCTGATTTATTTTATCTTTGCTATGCTGAGAGTAATTAAAATTTGACTAGATATTCTTTAAGACACTTCTATACAGCTTAAAGTGACATTTAAAGGCTTCACTAGGTTAATCAGGATAACTAGGCAGGTTAGGGTAATTAGGCAAGTTACTGTATAATTATGGTTTGTTCTGTAGACAATCGAGAAAATATATAGTTTAAAGGGGCAAATAATTTTGTCTTTAAAATGGGTGTTTAAAAAATTAAAAACAGCTTTTATTCTCGCCGAAATAAAACAAATAAGACTTTCTCCAGAAGAAAAAATATTATCAGACAAACTGTGAAAATGTCCTTGCTCTGCTAAACATCATTTGAGAAATATTTAAAAAAGGAAAAAGAATTTGAGAAGTATATATACAGTTGCGGTCAGAATTATTAGCCCCCTGAATTATTAGACCCCCTTTTTATTTTTTTCCCCAACTTCTGTTTAACGGAGAGCAGATTTCTTCAACACATTTCTAAACTTAATAGTTTGAATAACTCATCTCTTATCACTGATTTATTTTATCTTTGCCATGATGACAGTAAATTGTATTTGACTAGATATTCTTCAAGACACTTCTATACAGCTTAAAAAGACATTTAAAGGCTTAACTAGGTTAAGTAGGTGATTAGGCAAGTTATTGTATATTGATGGTTTGTTCTGTAGACAATCTAAAAAATAATTACATTAAAGGGGCTAATAATTTTGTCCCTAAAAAGTTTTTTTTTTTTTTAATTAATAACTGCTTTTATTCTAGCCGAAATGAAACAAATGAGACTTTCTCCAGAAGAAAAAATATTATCAGACATACTGTGAAAATTTCTTGAATCTGTTAAACATCATTTGGGAAATATAAAAAAATATATAAAAAATTCAAAAGGGGATGAATAGTTTTGACTTCAACTGTATATGTGTATGTATATATATATATATATATATATATATATATATATATATATATATATATATATATATATATATATATATATATATATATATATATACAGTATATATATAAGACACAGACAGATGTCAGACTGTTAACTCACTTTTATCATCATTTGCATGAAAGTGCAATTATTTACAGAGTAATAACAAGTATTTTAATATAACGTTTTTAAAACTAAGATGATGGTTCAATATGAATAGGACAGATCCAAGAACTGTTCATCCCAGTCAAAACAGTCGAAGTTTAGCAGGTCTCATGCTGTCATTAGCCAAAATATCTTGACAAACCACACATAAAGGTCGTGGTTCATCAGCTGGTCCTGTCCACGTAAATCCTAAACTCAAATACTGATCATCATATCGTCGTCTTTTGGGTTTAAGCCCTGAACTTGAAGGCTTTGAATCGGGGGGTCTCAGAAACCGACACGGCACGTGCACACATAGGGCTTAACCTGTGCAGTGCACATGCCCTTTTTAGTCCTGGATAGAAAGTGCCCTTCCAAAATGATCAAAAGCGCCCCCGGGACGCGGCACACCCTCGTTCCCGCCCTTCAGTAGGCGTGCGAACAGAACAGAACAGAACAGAACACAGCTGAACAGAACGAGCGCGACAGAGGCGCGCCTCACACTTTGAAAACCCCTGCTATATACTATATAGTTACTATAGTAGCTTATAGTTACTAGTTCTATTGGATTGCGACCCCTGGGGTA